CATACTTACTCTATTTTTTCATCTCTTTTAGCACAGGAGAGGACTCTGACAGGGGTCAGCCAGCAGGAAAAGCCAAAGGCTGGGGCAGGATTCGTCTCATCTGACCTTTCCAGCAGAGTGCAGCGGGCAGGCCAGGGCAGGCCAACCAGGAAGGGAGGACTCACAAGACCCTTGCGCTTGCAATTCCTTGTGCCTTTATGGTGGAGAGAGCGAAGCGTGTTTTTCCATGAGCCCTATGTAACACCAGCAGCTGGGTGCCATAAGAACACACTAAGGCAAAGCACACAGAGAAGTTGAAAGAAAAAGGATTTGAAAGTTATTTGCCAGAAGTTCCAGATGTAGACAGGCAATGTGTGAGACTCATCAGGACTAGGTGTCTGCGCACAAGCCACCAGCAAATATTGTGTGTTCAGAGTAAACTTTGCTGGCAGGAGCTTAAGTTGTTCTTTATTGTCCCCTCCTCGCCTGCAGATCACGTGCTGGCAATCAGATCCAGCATCACCATTTTTGTCTCCTTATCTGTCCTAGATAGACATCACTTCTAGGGTGTCACTACCTCTGTTGTTTAAAATGTCCTGGCTTTCTGGTGGAAGGAGGCTCTGTGCCTACCTGATTGCATCGTCTTGTGGGCTGCTGTGAAACTTCTCTGTCATTTGCTGAACCCACTGGCTACCCAGAGATGGGCTCCAGGAGAGCAGGAGGAATTTCATGGCCAACACTCTGAGTGGTTTGAGACCCCACCTGGGAAGCACTGGCTTGTGCTCCCCTCCAAGACAGTTAGCGTACAGGAAATCATCTTGTTAATTCCTTTTTATTTTTTGCCCCACACATTTCACCAGTGGATCTTAAGAGTAGCTCTCTGACACAAGCACTTGTACCCCTCTTACAGCATTCAGTGACTAACACCAGCGCACTCCATCACATCCCCATCGCGATCTTTCATTCAGTCACTTACCCAATTCCTCTTTCTTTCATCAGAAAATTGCATTAAAAACCTTGAACAGTGAAATCCTTGCATCCATTTCTGATGTCAGCTAGTGAGTCTCTTCTACATTGACAATGAGCATGTAAAAAGTATTTTGTGCATACCAAATGCCAAAACCTCAAGCACTAAACATTTAAAACATTGCCGAAAACATCTGAATTATTAAGATCTTTGGCATGAAGGGATCACATTGTTATCAGTCACTTCTCTCTAAATATCTGAAACACTCAATACCATGGACATTTTCTGTTCTGAAGGCAAGTAACATGTTTGCAAAAGGCGCTGTGTTTAGTATCCTCTCTGTCCAATGGTCTCTCTGGCACTTCGTCCTGATCTTCATCTGTAAAGACACAATTGTACAATGGTTTTGGAAAAAAGGCAGATAGTCCTCATCAGGAAACCGCTGACTGTTTGTTTGCCTACCCGTGACAAGGAAGAACTAGAAACCACCAGCCAAACTGCAAAATTAAAAAGTACTAGCAGGCACTTTGGACCAAGTTCCTGGGAAGTACATAAAAGCAGTTTTCAAACCAAATTTCAAATCTGCATTAGTCATTTATGGCGAGTTCTAAAGTAGCCAAAAATGTTGCAAATGAAGAGGAAAGAAAGTTGACAAATGCTTCTCACCACAAATTTACACACTTGATTTTAACATAACAGTCTTTAGTTCTGTAACTTCAAGACTACAAAAGATTTGGCTTTGTGAGCTGCCAGTCTAGCTAAGTCCTCCTCTGCAGGACTGTTTCTGACATCTTATAATGAAAAGTTCCATGTAAAACATCTAGGTAATACTGACTATCTCAGTCTTTTAAAAGAAATACATGAGTAAAGCTCATCTTCGCTCTCTCCATGCTCAACAAAAGGAAAGCACCAAACAAAACAAAAATGCATAAAGCCATGCATTAACAAGATCAGTCTTGTTTATCATTGTCCGACGTTGAGCTTAATCAGGCTCCTACAATATTTCTGGACGTGGAAGCGCAGCAGCAATCACACCCAGCACAAGCGCTGCGCTGATACATTGAGGCATCTCCATTTTGCAGATAGAGAAGAAAATCATCTGCCTTGCCAGGACCATGCGAGCCTGTGCTGGGGCAGGACCAAAACTCTCAACAGAGGAGCTTTTGGGTGAGCAAACAGAGCGAACCAGCCTGGGGACCTTTTGCTTTTGCCACACTGAAGCAGCAACCGCCACTGGCTGGGCCCCCGCTCCCCTTGCAACACAGGGGATCTGCTTTGCTGCTGCAAAGGGGAAGTGAGGGCCCGCTTCCCCCTGTATTTCAGCTGGCTTAAGAGGAGAGAACAGCAAAGGATACGACTGTCACCTCCTGCCACTCTCCTCCAGTCCAGTGTGGTCCCCTCAAGGGAAAAAAAAGAAAGAGGCTCCTTTGATGGGTTTTATAGGGCAAGACAGGGAACAAGGCACTGGGTTTCTTTCACTCCTGAAATATTTATGCACAGCACAACCTTCTCAATCGACCTGTTTTATAACATACACCATGTCTCAAGCTGGCATGAGAATGAAGAGCATTTCAATTAAAACAAAACTGTTTTTTTAAACAAACCAAGTTATTTCTTGTGAGTATGTGATAGTTTAACTAGCATTATGCACTATTTGAAGAAGGTTATAGCCTCCGAGTTCAGATCTCGCACTCAATATGAATTCTGCATAAACATGGGTTTCTTGTAAACCATGCTGCTTTATGCTGGGTAAGGAGAAAAAAAACAGTAGAACAACAGAAAGGAGGTTTCAGTTGTAAGATCTTTTTTTGCTCTACAAAAAGCAATAGAAATGCAGGTTAAATGGAGTTCACAGCCATCTAATCTTTAATTAATCTTTGAAATAAATGCCTGACCTCACACATAGTTTACAGTTAAAACTCAACATTCCTGAAGGGAGCTTTGCTGCCTAATCCAGCAAGCTCCCCGCCTCTTTTTTTAACTAAATACACAATCTTACTTGAGTTCATTCTCTCAAATCATTGAACAACCAGGAATTATTCAAAAGGTTTCCTTAAGAAGACATGCCTTAAAAGAACCACAACGGAGGGTGTTGTGCTGAGCATCTGGCATGATACAGTCTCCAGTAAAATATACTTAGCTGGTGGTAGATGTCTCCGCTTACTATCGGAGATGAAGAATTGCCATCCTTGGTTTCTTTCACTCCGTTTGTATTTATATGAAAAGTATTTACATTGTACTTCAGTTTTTAAGAAAAGCTGCAAAGCTGAAGCATTCTGGGCTATCTTCAGAGGACAGAGGTCGTCAAACCACAGCCCCAACCACACAGCTGTGCTGAAAAAGCTCCAATCCCTTGTATTTCTAGGCCTTCTTAAGTGTGGAACCTCTCCTGCCTGTCTGCTGAGCTCTCACTAGGATTTTGGTGAATTCAGGGTGTTCTTCTGCCCACAACAGCTGGTTAAAAGGGACACATCGCCCCACAATTCACTCGGCTTTGCCTACCCTGCATGCAGCTTTTAACACTCACTTCAGACCAGTACCTGAAGGATGTGACAGGAAAAAGAAAAAAGTTATTTTGTATGCTGGGATAGCCCACAATCTACCTTTCCCCAAATTACAAGTAAACCAAGTTTGATGAGCCAATCCTTCCTCTAAAAAATTTAATCAAAGGCCCTAAAGGGTGGAATACCGAAGTATACAAGATAAAAAAAAACCCCAAAACAAAACACACAACCATGTATCACCTTCCTTTGCTCAAAGATGAAGCTAAAACTTAGTAGAAAAAAGTTAACTTTAACTGTCAAATTTGAGTTCATGTTAAAAGTGTACACTAGCTTTAACTAAAACAAAAATAATGCACAGTACAGCCTGCTGAGAACTGTTTCACTGAGAAACTATGGGCTGCCCTGCCTTCAGGCCACGGGGAAAAACTGAATTCAAGATCTGACAGCAGAGAAGAAACTCCTGAAGGCTGACTAGACAATTATTTAGTAAAACAGAAACAACACACACACTCTCTCCCTCATTCTATATGCACACGGGTAGCTGGTCTAGTTTTGAGGCTTGCTGCCTCATTTCCAGGACCCATTTGTCAGCCTATTTGTTTGTGGTTAGAAGACTTCTGCAGAGAATTCTGCAAACTAGAGAATTTTACCACACGTTTAAGATGCACGTTTTGTTGCTTGTGCATGCTCCGCCCCCCTCCACGCTAGTGTCATTTTTTCCCCCCTCGTTTTCTGGAATAATCCAGTTGTTTGACTATTCTCCTTCAACGCCCTCTGTTGCTGTAGACATCTTCCCATGAACTTCACAGTGGTAAGACTGCTGGTGCACAGAGTGGCACACTACTGTGCACCTCATCACCTTGTCACTTCACTTTCCCCATATCCTCTGGCATCTCTGACTGTAATCTTTTAAAATAAAGTTGGACAATGCGCTCAGCCTTCATTTTATCTAAAACAGGTCCTGGTTCATAATCTTTCTGTGGACACCAGAAATACAAAGACAACCTCTGTGTACATTTTGGGTCAGAAATGCAGTTCCATAGAGAGTAGGTGGCTAAATTAGAACAAGACAAAGGTAATAGGTTGTGTAAGACCAGGAACATTGCCAGATCACCAGGTAATTAATGACAGTTAGGACAGCTTTAACAGAGAGGTCAGCAATCGATGGCAACCAGGCAGATTTTAAATAGTGCCTCGGCAGTGCTGGCATCTGCAGCAACTTCAGAGAAGTCCCTACTTGCAGCTCCTGCTAAAACAGCAGAAGCCTTCCATGGCATCCCAGGCCTTTAAGCTGCAATTGTTTGGAGTGCTAGAGCACAGCATATCTACCCTGGGAATTCTCTACTGTGTATTAAGAGCAAGGTGCCTCCTCCCACCACAAGCAAGAAAGTTTGCAGCTTCCTTGCTCTTACTTCTGGCACTTCAATCACATGTTTTTACTGAAGATGCTCATGTAGAAAGACTTTCACAATTATTTATTTTGGCAAAGTTGTAACATATATCATATCTTAGTAAGACACAAGGAAACAGAAATCTAAGGACTCTGAAAAAACTTTTAGCCAAGCTAGTCCATTTATTGAGCCTCTATCAACTAGGTTTTTATTAACAAGTGGGAAAAGAAAACACTGAGCAACATACAAAATAAATACAGAAAATAACAAAGTTCTCTTCATAATGACAAAGTTTTCTGGGGACAAAGGTTAGAAGAGAGAAAATATATTCTAGTTGGAAGAAAGTGCCTCAGGTTTCTTAGAAAAATTTTCCTAGAGAAACAGATTCTCTTAAAAGAAACAATTTTCATACAGCACTACATTTAGAAACTGAACCATATGCCAAAGGAAAAAGCCCTAGGGGAGAAAAGGTTTACATGGACAAACAACACAAAGCATTAGCTGGACATCACTTTACATTTAAAGGTTACACCATTAGTGTGGGTGAGCTACTGAACTGAAGAGCTCAGAGTTTCTCACGAAGATATACTACTGTGGGCTCTAGGTGGACTGCCAGACTGTACACACCTTAGTTCTATCAATCAGCATGGAAGCTGTCTGACAGCACTGGTTTGGACAGATAACATTTTAATAGTGCACATTTCCTTCAAGGCAAGTATTTATATGAACGGACACAGTTTTGCTCTCAGCCTCTCCATCCTTGTTGGAAGAAGACCCACCATCTCCTTACTGAGTTCTAGTTCAGTTTCAACAGCGCGAACAGCATTTGGGTACTTCTCACAATAGTCTACCAGAAATGTGTAATATTCCAATGATGTCTGCATATTTTCCAATTGCTTTTTGCTATCTGATGTAATAAGCTTACCATATAGTCGTGCAATATGAAATTTAGCCACCATTGCAGGGCGAAGAACATCTTCCTCAAGCTCTTCAGGAAACACCTTATCTGGGTTCCTCAAAGAATCTAAGAAGAGTTCATAATATTTGATTGCTAATTGAGCCAGAGAATTAATTTTTTTAATTGTGTGGGAGTCTAGCTCCTCTAACCTGTTACCAATAGCTACCTTTAAATCCATCATCTCGTAATAGGTGTCAGCTAGTTCAAACTGAAGCTGCCTACTAATCAACAGATAGTACTGAGGATTCAAGTCTGCATATATAGGCTCCAGCATGTCTATTCTACGCTTGTGCATTTTGCAACGTCTCTCATAGTCTTCTTCGAAGAAAGCAAGTACCTTAAACAAAGCACTGTGATCCTGAACAATTTCAATATGGTCAGTAACATAACCATCAACCTGAAAGAACTCTTTTGCTTCCTGAACATAGTTCTGACCAACTAGGAAGATTTCTCTGGCTTCTTGAAAATCTAAAGGATATACGCTGCTCACTTTCTCTTCCATGGCTAAGACAGAGTCGCATATATCACTCGTCCCAAAAAGGACAGCTTTCTTCCTGCCCTTCTCTTTTTCATCCTCCTCCTTCTTCCTTTGGGCTTTAAGTTCCAATTGCCTGTCTGGATCCAGTTCTCCTATGTTATCCTGAAATGACAAAGCATACTAATTAAAAATGCATGTGGTTTACAAGGAGTGATGTATACAGAATCATTTTATTTATGAGTCCCCTTTGAAATACAAACTAGTTAGCAACAACACAGAAAAGACACATTGGCACATTAGACATTATATCCACAAAATATCATGTAAATTACAGTCTCGATTCTGTAAAAACATAAGACTAAGAAAATTTAGTCTCCCTACCCTGCGCAACAATACAGCCAAAACGATAAACGTAAAGCCCAAAGTTCCTGCTTCTGAAAAGCATTTCAGCAAATGCTGAGTTTTAAACATTCGAATGAATGATTAAATGAATGAAATGAACACTTGAATGAATCAAAGGCTTGAATGAATGAGAACACCAGCACACAAAACCGTTGCATATTAAGAAGATGTTCTTACTAGCATTAGGTAAGTGATCTGCCAAATCAAGCCACAAGAAAATGCAGCAGAGGAGAAAAAATTTTGAAGTTGCTGTACAAGCAGCGCACTGATCACACTACAGAGCTGATCTCCTATCTGTGCTTGTTTCTAGGTGCTGCAAAGTCAAAGCATATTATGAAACAGCTGCAACAATGCAAGCATCTATTGTATTATCATGGGGCAACTGTTTTATCATTTGCTAACAACTATGAACTGATTCCTGTTACAAACATCAAAACAGACTTTGTTTTCAAACAATGACATCGACAGAACAGATTTTCAGTTACCTCAAGTAATTTCTGAGCACTTTGCAGAAGATTCAGGCAATACTTAATCCAACATCTTGCAATTTCAGCTTTTCTTTGTCGAAGGTCCTGTTGGTCTTGCTCTGTTTCATCTATTAAATGGACATAAACACATAAAAGCCTTAAGGGAAGTCAAGCGCTCCAGCAAAAACCTCAAATGTTACAGGCAAATAATATGTTACTTGTATTTAATGAATTTTTCCTCATTTTTAGACACAAGCATGTTCTCTGTGTTAGTTTATATAATAATTCTGTAAACTGTCATTCTGGTACAAACTCATATAGATTAACATGGATTTGTCAAGCATGAATTCTTCCCAAAAAATGTGTGTTTAAAAAGACCTTTGATCCTGGAGGTGCTTCACCGGAAAAGATTTTCATGTCTCCTTGTAACAAGAGAAAGAAATTGGGGTAATTTGTTTTCCAAGAATCAGCTGCCTGCCCAGTAACTGTTTCTGAGGATGATGAGGGCATTTGTATTGCAACGGGCACCAGACTTGCTACCAAAAAAGGAAACAAAACTACGGGAAACTGCCTTTGGTTAATCTACCTGGTACTAACGTAAGATTTATTAGCTCTACAACTTCTGTATTTTTCTCCCCACTGTCACACGTAGCAGCACTGCTGATGTCTCAAGGTAACGTTTTCAGAAACCAAATGGATTTCAAAGAGAACTCATTTCCCAGTCTCTAGGCAGAAGGCAGCGAGTTAGCTGAACAATGAGGGGATGCCAGTATTCCTGGTCACCAAATAAAAAGCCAACTTCAGACTCGGATCCACTGTGTTCATTATCTTTCATAGAGCAAATCAAGTTGTTCTTATTAAGGAAATAAGAATTGTTGCTCAACTAAGAAAAGGCACCTTTACTAAATATCTCTGTGTTTCCTTATATTCCAATTAACGTGATAAAATGAATATGCTTGAGAGTGGCCAGTGCTGACTGTGCATTAGTCTTTCTGAAAGTTAGAGCTTTCTGCATAACAATCTTCAAGCCCACAGCCCAGCTCTCTGTACCATGAAAAGGAAGGGGAAAATAGGATAAATGTTTACTCCACCTAAACAAACAGAAATAGCACTGTTCCCATTTGGTGCAGGAGGAAGTCAAGAGAGAATAAGTTAGTTGACCAAAAATCACACAAGAAATCTATACAGTACAATTAAAATTAGGACTCTCATCTACCACCTTCAGTCTTGCACCTGAATTTGAGATCATAACTGACGGTATGTCTCTGCACATGTACCGAAAACAACATCATGTTTTGGCTTAAGTATTGTACTAATGAACTCTGACAACTATGCAGTCAGGTAGCTATGGAAGCCCATAAACACTGACTCAGACCTACTGAATATTTCGCAATATACAGTTTTCAAACAGCTTAACAGATTAGCATAACCTGACTTGACAGCCCTGTTTCCCTGAAACTAAAAAGCTTCTGAACATCACCCTCAAAGCACTTAAACAATAAGAACAGCAGCTGCATAGAGTTCTATATTTTTTGAGCTAAGAGAAATACAAAAAGCAATTAATGTACTGTCACTGAACTTCAATTAAATAAAACACACTTGTGTCTACTCAGGTTATATTTTAACCTGAAATAACAACATCAGTGGATTAAAGAGCTTGTGTTCTGAACAGCTCAAACCATTAAAAGTTAACCAATATATTCACTGTTCAAAGTCAGAGTTCTGAACTCACAAAGGGGCTACCCCGAGTACTTGTGCACTCTCTACAAATTAAAGCTCTATTGATTTGAAGCTTTCAGTTGTCCAAGACACAGAATGCAAAAGGCTGTGCTATAGATAAGCAAAGACTAAGCCTAAACCAGAGGATTTATGTTGAGTACTGACACTATCATGTAGCCAAAGGTCCTTACAATTCTGGTCAGTTCTCTAAAAGTTTCTTTTATTGACCTCTGTGCT